CGGCCACTCACATCGCTATCACGAAACGCCGAGAAGCGATGGACGAGACCAAACAATCATTTACGAAAATAAAGAAATGAGTAAAAAATCATATTTTTGGCCAAAAAATTGATAATCTTCCAGATACGTTTAACTGCCCTTCAAGCCCTGACACCTGTCCGTGATTAATTTCCCTTTTTCTGATCTATACTTCTATCACACATTATTAATCTCAAGATGAAACACTAATGGTTATTAAATTGCGAAATACAGGAACGAATTTTTGGGGAGAGGGTTCTAAACTCACTCGGCCTCTTCCCGGAACGTTGATAATCGGTCAAGAGAATATGAAAATAATGAGAAATAAAAAATCACCGAGAATCAACTGAAATATGAAAGGGAAACGGACACGGCCTGACGCCACCGCGACTTGACTTCCTCGTTTATTAGTAACACACGTTAGCCGATAGAAAACCGGAAGCCTGGAAGTTATATCTAACGTAGGAAGAGGCTGATACTTACGTGGGCTATAATTCACGCACGGCAGAATCGTCGCAATTTATTTTTTCCGTCATTTTGTTTTTCACCATCGTCACTTTCCCGAGTTGTGAAAAATGGGAAAAACAAAATGTCCTGACAAATTTAATTAAGAATGTACAGAAGTTGAACCGTTAAATTAAACGCGATGTTTGCATGAAAGCCACGGTGAGTGACCACCAGTCGTGGAATTGATTTAACATTTTCTCATATTTTGATCTCGCGTGGATTCGCGTGAATTCGTTGTATTAATGAGTCGACGACCGGTATTGCAATAAAATTCTCATACGTCGTACGCTTCTATTTTCTGTTCACGGTCACAAGAACCGAACAGACGTTTGCAAAAGTTGCGGGTATTTTCAGCCTTTCACTATCTTTTGATATGCTCGAAAACGCTAAAATTGAAAGAGTAAAAATAATTGAAACTGTAATGGCTATCTGTACTCACGCTCGATTTATATTCATTAACATTCTGGGGAATGCTATTCCAGATATCTTGATCTGTCGTGGGCAATGGAATGGGCTTGTATCGCATACACATTCGACGACGAATTCAATTCGTGACCATTCAGAGTTGCAATAACGGGCAATTAACGCGATTACGGTGGAGAGACGTATGTAAGAGGAGATCTGAGATGCCGTTTTCCACGGCTGGTGAATGAGAAAAGTAGAAGTCCAATGAAATATATACGCACACAGCCACAAACTTTAGCCTACGATACCGCCCGAGAAACTACAGGTGAAAGCAACACATACTATCCACACTTCCATGGATAGACTATCACAAACTGGCCAGTCAACAGTGCACAGCAAGAATGAATTTACCAACAAAAACCCATAATTTCATAGATTTGCTATTTAATTGGCAAACTATCCAGCCTCTCGTGGTTGAGATTCTTCTCGAAACGAAAGTGCCAAACCCGGAAACGAAGCCACGACATTACGAAAAATAGTAATGAAGGATGTCCGTTCTCCATTTTACTCATTGCAAACAGTCTCGACTATTTATTCGACATCGTATAATTAATAGACGTCTTTCACTTCTCAGTGAGGACAAAAATTAACGATAATTACACACATCCTGGAAGTGAGTAAAGATTTATTGAGGTCTCCACACTCATTTGGTAAATAATTCATCTTTATTCAAATTTATTTATAGTACAAAAATATAAAATTCATCCTTTGGAGCTCAGTTTGTTGACACATCATTTGCCTACGAGTTATATTACATAATTGAGAGAAGAGAGACACAGGGAGAGACGCAGGAGGAGCTGAGTTTCCTCCCTCATTCCTCAGTACATGAAAATATTTATCACATGTAACAGAATCTTCGAGATAATAGTGCGAAGTGATCAAGGTACAGAAGCTCTTAAAATTTCAAATTTAACAATAAAAGATAAACACAATTTTTATTAATGATGATGGTACTCGCCACCCTCAGACCCGTAGGACGGTTGGAAACCGCCGTGGCCACCGCCGTAGCCACCGCCGTAGCCACCGCTGTGATCACCGCCCAAATCACCCCCACCGATATCACCGTGCTCTCCACCGTATTGTCCATGATGCTCTTCATGGTGCACATGAACAGGTACATGAACTGGAACTTTGACGGGAACCGGCACCTCCTTTTCAACAGGTACTGGTACTTCCTTCTCGACAAAGTATGGCTTGTCAACGGGTACTTTAACCGGTACTGGATAGGGTTTCTCAACTGGTACCGGTACGTGTTTGTGGACAGTGTACGGCTGTGGTACGTGCACTTTGACTGGTACTGGATAGGGCTTCTCCACAGGGACTGGGTATGGTCTGTCAACTGGTACTTTAACCTCGTATGGTACTGGTTTGTCAACAGGTACTGGGTACGGTTTTTCAACAGTAACTGGGTATGGTTTTGGTACATGTACTGGGTATGGTCTGTCAACTGGTACCTTGACTTCATAAGGCACTGGCTTCTCCACTGGATAGGGCGCTGGTACCGGAATCTTCACTTTGACGGGATAAGGCACGTGCTTCTCAACGGTGTACGGCTGTGGAACGGGTACTTTGACCGGTACTGGAACGTGCTTCTCGACTACGTACGGCTGGGGCACGTGAACCTTGACCTCGTACGGCCTGTCAACAGGCACTTTAACTTCGTATGGTACTTTTTTCTCAACGGTGTACGGCTGGGGCACGTGAACAGGTACTTTGACGAATACTTTAACAGGGTAGGGGACGTGCTTCTCCACGGTATAGGGCTGTGGAACACCCACTTTGACCTCGTAAGGCACTGGCTTCTCCACCAGGTAAGGTACGTGTTTCGTTACTTCAACCGGCACTGGAATTTTCTTCTCAATTGTCACGGTTTTAACGTGCTCCTCGTGTCCGTGTGACTCGTAACCACCGCCATATCCACCCCCGTAACTACCACCAAAATCGCCGTAACTGTGACCGAGCCCACGCTTTTCGGTCTTCTTCTCGGCTACTGATTCGGCAGCCTCCACCGATGAATCCTCGATCTTCTTCGAGGCAGCTGTCTCCTCGCAGTACACCCAGGTACTCTGAGAGAGTGCCAGAAGCGCCACAAGGGCTAATTGAATCTAAAATATTTAATTAATTCAGTCACTGTTGAAAATTTTTCGTTGAAATTTCCAATACACTTTTCGAAAATTTTTATCACAGTTTAGTTACACCGAAATTTCAAGGAATGTTGTGGATAGAAAAAGGAAAACTATAACTTTCAGTACAACAATTCCTTAAAAATTAGTAGAAATCAGAAAAATTCCGACAAATATATTCTTGAATTTTCAATTGATGGAAAATTCATCTCAGTTCGACATTAAATATTCGTGATTTCATTGAAAATTCAAGTAGGTTGAGGAATTCTCACGTCAAGTGTCATGATTTTTTCCCCTTAAAATGGAATTCAATGTCACTTTCCTGAAAATTCCAAGTTGACTGCCCACGAAATTTCAATTCTTTCCTAACAGTGTAATTACAAAGGTCGATGTTCTGTTCTAAAATGAATTGCCCACGTTTCCCGTAAACGAATAGTTTCACTCGACTTTAGAATGACAGATGCCCATTAACGTTTGTTTGTTTTCACTATCAATTTGTAACAAGACTCACCTTCGTTTTCATTCTGCGGCTTACGTGTGTTTTTAGTGTGGCGCTTAACCACTGACTGAACCGCTTCGTTTTCTACGTCCCAGCCTTATATACCCAACGGCATAATAGCCTGGCACTTTCCCTGCACCTCATCGCTTATATTATATGTTTCATACATGTTTATTTGCCGGTGTTAAAATATCGAAACTAAAGCGCTCATTCGATTCGTAAGAGTAGGATACAATTTTACGATTGGGAAATGTGGAACTTAACTTATCTTTATTCGAACGACATTCGGTGGGATGATGTGAAATAACTGTACTCTGAGACCCCCCCCCCCCCCCCCCCCCCCCCCCCCCCCCCCCCCCCCCCCCCGCCCCCCCCCCCCCCCCCCCCCCCCCCCCCCNTGGGTACAAGTACGCGTGTATTGCTAATGCAAAAACCTAAAGTGCCCCCCATCTGTGCTTTCGAAAGAGCAATTTTACCGAATGCAACGTAAGTCCAAGTACAACTCATTCTTCGTCTCCAAAATAGCATAGTTGTATTAGTACACTAAACTGTGAGATAATCAGCAATAATAGGGAATTACGTGACGCAATGTGCGTCGTATTATCTATTTCTGGGTATAGAATCTGCAGTCATAGAATTTCACTATTAATGTTGACTTGTGTAATGTCTGGTCAATGGTGGTTACAATAGCTGTTGAGGGTTGATTGATGCACGCGAATATGGATGACCTTTTTAAAAATGAATATGTGGTGTAACAAGAACGCACTTTTTATCAGGGAAAGTGAGGATCTCGGTGATTTATGCTCGTCGCGAATTTTATGGAAATCAGTTTGAAATTGGAGATCGGAGATCCTGATTCACTTTAAATGATAATTTATTTGACTATTTGACAGTCTTCCGTCATTCGTGAAAGGAGAAGTTGATGGCTACTGTACCAATATGATTCGTAACTCGGAAATTAGATTAGAAATATGATAGCCGCTCGAGTCTTTCAAAATTTTTAATATTATGTAAATCTTATTCAATCAGACACTTTCCCTCTCCTTAATGCCCATCCCACGAATTCATTTGAACTAGAATTTTTTCCGAGGGGAAGTGCATCTGAATTAAATTCCCCAGCTCATCCGGAAAGGCTTGCACCGTGAAATATGGTTGTATCTCTCGTAATCCACTCCATTCTTATTTGCGATGAAGAGGTAGTCAGTGCAAGGCACTTGGGCATTTTACGTGTTGCCTGTAAATACGTCTGCATGGACGACCTCGAAGTGAGAGCGCGCGCGCCCGTTGTATTAAGACCGGCTCTGGTTATAGACCAAAACAAATCCCATGTATTCCTAACACTTTCTTCGTTAGGCCGGTATCAATTCTTCCTCAATTCTTTTCACATTGCACTCCAGTTCGTTACGTAAAATCCGTATTCCAATTAATCATCATCAGAGATTGTATCCGGTGTATATTGAATATAGAGGGTGTCTCAGAACTCATTGTACATAGCAGTAGGGAAGTGGTCAAACGGTTTAAGTTAATTTAGTCTTTAGTTGAGTTTTCCAGAAATATTTCCGAATTTAAGGGAGATAGCGAAATTTTCGTAATAACCTTTTTTGTAGAGCGAATTGAGTACTACTAAAAAGATTTTGAGAAAAATTTTGCTATCTCCTTTAGATTTCGAGATATTCATTGAAAACTGGCTTGATAAACAACACGAAAATCCATCGCAAATCATTCTCTTTTTTTTATGTTCATGTCTCCCCGCGCAATTGGAATGGAGGAATGAAACTGGTGGCAATCAATTGGGTATTTAATGCACAATGATTTGAAGGAAAAATTGTTTCGCTGCCGCAGTGAATTTCACGGCGGCCTGAGAGCCATTTAATTCCTACACGCAATGTGAACCTGAAGACAAGAGTCAGCAAAAAAATTCATATCTTCGGGGGATGAAATTGATTGGAATCGATTGAACATTCAATGCTATCATCCTTCCGCCGTTTTTATCTCCAAATTATCCGTACGAACTATCTTTACCATATGTACAATGAGGTTTGGGCCACCCTGTATATAAGAATAATCTGCGGTAGTGGGCTTTTTTATAACGTTAAGTTATTGTAATTAAATTGGAAAATTGTGCGTGATTTACGTTCCAGCAGTGTAAACTGATAATCAATGGCTTGAGTGCGCCAGTGTGAGACAGGAAATTTCATGTACGATAGAATGTTGAAGATTTCCGTTTACAATGTGAACATTCAGGGCTGTCTATCGCCAGAAAATTAGTCTTGAGATTTATTGAGGAGAAAAAATGGAATGAAAAATGAATCTTGATGTAATATATATGTTATTAACAAATTAGTTATTTCGTGAAATATTCAATTTCCACTGGACATTCCCAAAATCTCGGTATTGAAAAATCGCGTATTCCATTGATTTTCTCATAATTCGATCAGGATCAAATAAACGATAGTTGTCAATTTCTGTTCAATTATTCCATGACAATTGTTAAAAATCCGGAAAATTCTGTTTTTTTCCACTCTGAATGTTGAATTCTACCTACAATTTAAATCGAAATGTCACTCTCGGAAAAATTACTACCAGATCATTCATGCAATTTCTTTTTTTCCAGTGTGACATGCCTCAATTTTCTGGAATTGGAACAAAAACAGAAATTTCGTGAATGTTTCAATCTTCATTCGATTTCTAGATCACAAAACATAAAATTCACATTGCGAATTTCCAGGAATTTCTAATAGTATTCGTTGTCCGTATTTCGCACATCCTATTCCTTACAAAGATAATTCACAAAAAAGAATACAATTTTCTTGTCTCCATTGATCCGCCAAAAATTCCATAATAGTCAAAGAAAATTTCCGCTGTTTACACATCTCATATGATTCTGGAGTGCTCGCCAAGTGGAAATTAATGATTGACTGATGCTTATCAAGACTATCAATGACTGAAACATTAATTAAACAGAAATCTGAACACTTGATGTCTGTGTTGACCATGTTCTCTGGTGTAGAGGCCCACTAGGCCTCAAGTCTACGCATAGGATATCCAACGCATTGCACAGAGCGTGTTTAATACCGTTGCATGTATACCCACCATTTTAATTCCCCCCTGTTCCCCTTCTCGTCTCCTCGGCAACGTGTTTAATCGTGATAAGTGGTGCTTTTGAGTGATTAATCGTTCCTACACTAAGTGCGGTGTGATATCTTCACGGAACAGGAATTGAAAATTCGAAAAAAGATTGCGAACGGAAATCATTGATTTTTTTTTCCATTTCGGTTGATCTGTTTCCCTGAATGATCATGTTTCGGGAATTGTCAAATTGTTTCGATTGAATACAGATATATTTAGGCGCGCATGCACGGGAATCGGTAATTGGAAACTTTTACGCGGTTGCGTGTGTTCACAATCGTGCTGATTTACCCAGCCGTGAATCCGAAGGGAATTTTCTACCGTGCAACTCTCCCCACTCTCAATGCCATTTTTTAAATCCTTTTGCATTTCTGTGGTGCCTTATTCTGTTGTTTATTCCGTCGATGCACTACACTTGGATGATTCCAAGTGCATTTGATGCGTGACATTGAGAGTTATTTATCGAGATGAAACCAATGCTTTACGGAGACATGGCTTTACGAGTGGATTGAGTGAAGGTTTGTGTTTATCACGACGCACTCGTATCGAACGTGAAATTTTCTTTTGTATTTTGATGCACTGATGGAACGATTCATTTGTGGACGTCCGCATGAAAAAGCACCATTTTGTCAATATGGACTTATGTATACTCTAATAATATTGATAAAATTCCGCACATTTTGAGCCAAAATGATCCTGAAACAAATCTTACTTTTGCCAAACATGCGAAACGTGCGCCGAGATTGAAAATTTTTATTGCCAAAATAGATTTAGTCGTTTCAGAAAAATTGAATTCTCTGTGCAAGCAAGAGATGTAATTTCCAGCATTATTTCTTCGTCACTCGATGCTCTCCTACGTATTTTGTTCCTGGCAAATGCTCATTTTATATGAAACGAGAAATAGTAGTTTGCCGTTTCGGCTATTCCATAATCACATATAAAAAACGAGTTCTTAAGTGAAATAATAATAATAATGATATGATGGCAATCTTGTAACTTGGGGGAAAAATATTTCTTGATAAACTTGTCTCTGTAAAAGATATTTTGACCCAAATATTTCGTTGTTGTTGAAAGCAGAGCAATTGCTCGCGTTTTTGACTTTCAAATTCGAACCAGACATTTTTTTTTTGTAATTTTCAACTAACGATTTTGTTGGCCCACACAAGATGTGATTGAGAACTTGTTCATTTTTCTCCCAGTGTAGGGTCAAAAATGACCCTATGATTCATCCTTGATTCATAAAAAAATTACGTCGCTGGAGAAAATTAAAAAAACAATTTAACATTAGTGTAAATGGGACTTGCTGAGACAAAAATGTGAATAGACAAAGTGGTTTCTCTTTACGTGGATGTCAACATTTATTGTCAACGAGTGTCGTTAACTAGTAACGAATGCACACTTGGCGAGACCAAATCGACCCCAGCCTTCAATCAAATTCATTTTTTAACACTAACTAATCCTTTCTATCAGCGCGAGATTTTTTTATCAATTTTTAGGCGATTTGCGATGCTCCCTCGGGGTATTAAAGTGTCATAAAGAGTTGAATTTCATGCTCCCATATAGTAATGCCTTAGGAGCACGGAATCTGATAATTTGGCAACGGTTTTGACTCTCGCGATGATAATTGAGATGTTCCAGAATGCCTGATGCACTCTCCTGAATTACGCCATTACAAATGCAACAAAAAGCGTAATAAATTGGTTGAAAAAACATCCATGTGCTCCAACATTTTTTTCTTTTTTTTTCGAGAATTTAATCCATCTAATCGGCGAACTGTCCTTCTGTAATTGCAGGTCACCTCCGGCAACCTGTATAATTTCCCACCGAATAATCCGAGTCACTTGAGGGGACAAAAATCCGACTTTCCATTCACGGGAAAACGGCTCTTTTTTGTTGCACCTGCGCCACAGCAAACGACAAAGGAGAAAATTTTACTTCTGGCGAATGCACCTGCATGTTAGTCCCGCAAATAGTTTTGCTTTTTCATTTTTCGGCACGATTGTACCTAAACCTCGATACCTAATGCCCCCATGGTCATCCCCTTTGGGTTCTTCCAGAGGATGCCCGGGGCACGTGCCTTCCCTCTTTCGTGACTTCTATCTTTCTCAATTACCGACTTGCCATTG